AACCTAATTTTATGGACGAATATAAATATTAAAATTCGAGAGAAGTGTTTGCTTTTTCCCGTTTATTCGCTTTCGCATGGCAGAAAGATATCGAATGAAAATTTAATTAATATAATACGGAACACGACTTGGGTGACGACGTAATTACGCGACGTAATTAAATACGTTGCGGCTCCGCTTCAATTAGCGTCCAGCTGACAGTCGACCACTGTCCATTACCACCCATTGTGCGTTTCATAGAAATATTTATACCGGCTTGGGAAACCGGTCCGTGCACCTGACCGCCATCTTCGGCGAATTTAACCTCAGGGGTGCTCATGCCAGTTAACAGCGAGCGCAAGTAGCTAATCCCAGACCAATAATTTCTCTCTCCCTTTGCTTCTTCTTTACGTTCCCTTTCCACATCATTTTTCCTCGGCTCCCTTTCTATCTTTAACTTCATTTCTCTATTTTCTGGCAACGATTTATTTTTCTCTCTTCTCTTCTCTCTCCTTTTCTGCTCTTATACCTTTCACCTCGTTTCACCATTTTCCATCTCCCTGCACTCCAATTATCTGTCTCCTTCTTCCTTCTATTCCTCTCTCACTTCTTTTTCCCATCTTTCATGCCGTTTCTTCTTTCTCTGTCCCGTGCGCTCTTCACCTCTTACACTCCTTTCCCCTTGCCGGAAAATCAATATGGAGTGGCGTTGGTGTACGACGTGGTGGCTGCCACCGCGTGTTTCTCCCCTCTTGCTCTTCTGACCATCGCCGTCGTATCGTTCTTAGTGCGTTCCGTTCTATCGTATTGCTTGGCTTCTCCTTGTTGCTTTCTTATCTTCTCTGCCTATATTCCAACTCTCCCAGAGCATTCTTCTTCTCGGGCGAGAGTATTTTAGGTTGCGCGAGTCTCGTCTGTGCCCGAAACCTTCATCAAAAGCGGAGCAATAGCCGATAGATCAACCACCGCGATTCTATCGTGTCACCGCGTGGGTCAACATGCAAACCGGGGATGCTTCGCTGCCACTGGTTGTGTATCCGCTAGAAAATCTGCCAATGAAGGTGGCACGAGGACAATTTCCCTATATATATACAACAATAAGTAATACATCCGTTCAGGATTCCATTCTGAAGAGATGATATCACTTATCTTAAAGTGGTAAACTTCTATAGTGACACGATAAGACAAAATGTCTATATTAACTTAAAGTTGGTTAAAAATATGGGTTTATGTCATTCAATTCTATACATATACGTCTTTACTTTTCAGAGTATTACAGCAAATTTTGTTTTTGAACTTTGAAAAATCTTCTCTAATTTGAGATACATTCTAGTATGTTCTGGTCATTATTCAGTGAGATTATACCGATATTTACTAAAATAAGTGTTAAAAATAAAGTAAAAATCGTAGTTATTATGCTTTGGATTTTAAACAATTTTATACCAAAGATTTTATACAAGTGGTTGTTCTGAATAAAATTAGGACTAGAGCGCCCTGGAATGTATATTAAACTAAACATTAAAACCAATTTTTCCTTGATTGTCATTGTCTTCATTAACTTCATAAAATCAAAATTCTAAGAAATCTAGTAATTTCACGATTCTTCGCATATTCAAAAGATAACATTATTTATTTAGTATATCATGAATCAACATTGAAAATAGTAGATGAATCATCGCTATTGGTCGAATGCTCTGCGTGGTTCGTGAATTGCATCAGTTTTCTTTATCGTCGAGTCCATCGTTGTCGGCTTTGGGTCGGAATATAATTTCTCTGGAGAATATCCAGCGACCAACGCAAGTGTGACGATAACGAGTTCCCAATGTCGAGGAACGAGAATACCTTTGAGTTGGCTAATGTTAGTTATCAGGGCTCCAGTTTTCAGTTTCAAAACGCGCATGACATCTAGTCTCTTTTTCAGCCAATCTGATGTTTTTCGAATTATATTGTGTATATTTTATTTATCTTGGGAATAAAGCGGAGGAAAGCAATAATTTCGTATGCGTAAAATAATATCAGCCTTCTGTTGACTAAATACACGATAAAAAATTCAAAAATATTTCAATAATGGAATGCAATCTATATTTATTTTGAAATGAACTTACTTGAATTCGTAATAACTAAACCATATCTTTCATGCCGTGAAAAGAAATTTGTCATTGATTCTCGGAAGCTTTTTATGTATCACTTGTGAAACCCCGGATTCAAATATTTCCAAATAACCTCTCGACGAATCCTCCTTGAACTATTTCTTCGAAGTCATTCTCCTTGACTGCCTGGCAAAATCTTTTTACGATGCTTGTCATTGTCCTCGAGTGGTCGAATTTTAAAGTATCTACCCGCTGACGGAACACTGTTGCATGCAGAATAGATCGTTGACGACACGGAACGCACAGTTGGTACCGTTGGACAAATATACGATCTCGGGATCGTAATTTAGTGCGATGCATCAATGCGATATGCGAATGATTCAGATGCTGGATAAGCCCGGCACAGAATACCACAACGTACGGAATCAACGAAATAGATTGTTAAACGACTCTGCGTGCCTCGTATTTTCTGGGAACAAGTGCGTCGTTATTGCAAAATAAATGGGTCGTGCGTAATTAAGAGTTTATTGCATGCGAAATGTCGTTTTCTCAAATATAATCAGTACTTCTATAGATTTTAAACCAGGGAAAATTGCGTGTATAACTACTCAATTATGGGCAATTTTTTCTTTAAGTGAAAACCTGAAACTGTGCATATTGAACTGAATTAATTTGATCTAATTTTTAACGGGATTCATGAAACTATATGAGTAAAAGTAAAAAGGAGATCATGGTCACTTATAATTTTCAACTTGCACATGAATGAGTAAAACTACACGTAAATTTGAATTCATGAACTGACACGGTTAATGCAGAAATAATATTTTCAAGATTGTGTCAGACAGTTTCTGTAAAACAGAGAGTGGGAATATATCATTATCAACAAAAAACGTTTAAATATTAACATAGAAAGTTATCCAAGGAAAATTGAGATCATTCTATAGTCCTCTAATGCTAGAAACGAGAACGTGTCGTTCAAAGCTGACATATTACAACCATAAAGGCGCTTTCACCCAAGGCAATTTATGTCCGTGGTAACTCATTAATGAGCGCAAGATGCTAGTATAGTCAACCGGAAGCTTTTTGTCAGTCAAATAGACGAACGAGCGAAAATACTAAACGTTAGAGCTTAAATAAAATTAATCATCGCGTATTCCGCCGTATTCACCAACAACAATACATTCACTAGCGTAACATTGATATATTTAATTCTGAATGGACGGCCGGATAGAACTCTCGATAAAAGCATCATCGTTTATTCAAGGGTATTTAAAACTCATACATATGATAATAATTTATACTGCGATCATTCCTTTCCGTTTGCATTCTCTCGTTTGTGGATAAGCGTAACCACTACAGCGCGACTTACTTACTCCTGCCATCGAGTAATTTATCTTTTTAGTGACTGTACACCTGGCTCTCTGGCTGTCTAACACAAAGATCCTTTATCCATATTAATGGCAAAAGGAGCAGTGTTTCCCGGAGAAGGTCTAATAAAATTCTCCATTGCAAATGCAACTCCTTGTACTGTCTGCTATTGTTATTTGAAATATAATGATAAATATCGTAAACGAACTGCTTCGAGTCGCTTATAGATGATTTAACTTTTATTACAACACGAATGACAAATGAGAACATTAATAGTAAAAATAAAATTCAAGTAGGAAATAAAAAATTTATATCCGTGATCTGAATTTCAATCTTTGTGGAGTGATCATTTTCAAAGTAGGAACGGGAGGTGATACGAGATTAATATGTATACAAATGGAATTGGATTTCGGTGTATGGCTGGAATGATAGCAACAGAGATTGGTCTCTTTCGAAATGAGAAAATAAATCAAATCCATTGCATTTGGGATGAACGAAATGAAGAATAGTAACAAGACAGACGATACTATAATAAAACGGATAATAAACGCAGTAAAAGAAACATTTAGGTCATGCTATTTCTCAGAAATAGAATGTAAGTTCTATTTTTAATCTTGAGAATAAAACATTTTGCAAATCGTATTCAATTTCATATTTCACCAGAACTTTAATTACTAATCGATATCTATGAAACTTAAATTGTGATCATATAATTCGATAATTCAAAGAGGCAACGGGTGGTAATTAGGTATCAAAAGTTTCTGTACGACTTAGCCAGTTCAGTGAACCCTGTCACGACCAAACCATTTTCTCCCATCGCTCGTGCCTGAAAACATCCGTACTAACCGTAATAACCTCACCCAAACAAACCAACGATGCTGCCGCTCGATTCCAATTCTGAAACGTGTATTACACTCAGTCCAATAACGTCGTCGGTCTAAAAAAATCCATCGCAATCGATACACCAAAAAAAAATGAACAGTTAATCCTGCAGTACCATTCATTCGGACGACTTTACAAAAAATTTATATCTGTACACTATCTGATTCCTAAAAAGAAAAGATAATCCTCGCCTCGTTTAAAAAAACAGAGCGATTTGTGCAGTGAAATTGTTTTAGTGCATAATCTTTGACCATTAGATACATTTGAAGACTTCTGGGGTACAATTTTCGAATTTATAAAAGTATGCCTAGAAAGAGAATTTGATCATTGTTAAATTAAGGAGAAAAGTAGCTTATTGGAATAAAAAAAGCTTCATGTATATGTAGGTTGTCCGTTCAGAGGCGCCCCCGACGAGAGGTTAACTCGAGAAAAAAATCGACCGGTGGAATCCCGCTCAATGAGGACACACGAGCTGATTCCCCGGTTCGGTACGGCACTGCGTCATGCGCAGTGCAAGATGGTTGATCGTCGTCGACCAGAGGGGGTTGCTCTGCCGTGCGAGAGGACGTATAGGGGGAGGAAGAGGGGAGGGTCGGACATGGAGGGCGCGCTTGTAGGATCGGGACAGGAGGGTAGGTTAGTAGCGGAGGTACACGTTGTGCCAGCCGGCAGTAGCGCGAGCCGTGCAAACCACACGGCCCCACACGGTGGCGTGTGCGTGTGCGTGTGCGTGCGTGGGTCAGCCTTGCCCCATATTTTCAGTCCATTCGCGAGAGGGTCGAGCCGGCGCGTCGCGGCGCGTATTCTAAAGAAAGAGGAAGGCCGAAGGGATGTTATCAGCGAGGAAGTGCCGGCGTCGGCGTCGAGCAGCGACCACCCGCCGGCAATTCGCGCGACGTCCCTCCGGGAACGAAGTCGGCGAGGCTTCCGAGTGAACGAACTTCTGCTTCTGTATCCGTCACATTTCACTAAAACGCACAACGTACGAGCGTGTGCACGTTTACGTTCCGTTGTTCCGTGAGTTGATTCGCGTGGTTAGTGCGTCGACGGGTGCGTGTTTGTTACTGCGTACGCGCGCGCGCGCGTGTACAGTAGGAAAAACGGGTCGAGGTGGACGCGGGGTGAATCGAGAATGTAAGTTTCCGGTGGTTAGTCGACAGGCAGGCTCTCGCTTGGCCGGCTTCCGCTGACCGCGTGTGTGATCTCGCTTTGAAATTTATTTCATCCCCGAGAGCGATCGTCTCGTTCGTTCGTCACGTCGGTGCGATTGTGGTGCTCCGTGAGTGGAATAAAAAAATTGTGCTATGTTTCTCTACATCGGAACGAGATATTTGAAGATTAGTCGCTACGCGTATAGTGATGTCCAATCGAATTCGAATAATGGTTCTTACCGAATCGAGATAGTCGTCTCTACGTTGTGGAAGCTCGAATGTTGAATTCGGTGTTCGGGTTCGGACGGAAACAAGCCGCGGGGAGGACGACGCGGAGAAACCGGTCGATGCCGGGGCGGTCGCTTCAAATTCCGCGATTTAAAATTCGAGTTGGAAAGCCGGTTGATACGCTCTGCCCGCGAAAACTCGACGAAAACAGAACGATAAGGAAACTTTCATGAGAGCTAAGGATTAGTGTTTTAGAATTTCAATGACCTAGAGATTCAGTAGTGTTCAACGTTCTGGTATTTCCTTGGATAGAATCTCTGAGTCTCGGTTCGCAGTGGCTAGTACCTGAATCTCCGATAATATAAATTCTTCGCGTTTCTCTTCTGTTTCGAACTTGTTGATCTCGCTTGTTCATTTCGCTTCCGTACGAATTTCCCTTGACAGCGAGCGGAATTGCGGAACTGCAACAAACGCGAATGCCCGATACTAAGGGAATGGTCGATAACGAGATTCTGGATAAAGTAGCTCGAGTTCTTTTTCTCTTTTTCTTCAGATATCACTATAATTTTATCTGCACTCTTGAGCAGTTGGTGATCATTATATGGAACATAATAGTAAACAAGATTTGTCGCTTAAAAAATAAGTGACACTTGATGCAATTTTTCAAGCGAGGATATAATTAACATTTTCCCTGTAGCGCAGGAGTCACCAATGACCCGCAACATTTATCAGAAGCATCCATTAGATGGAGAGAGATTACTCTCCTGTTTAATAACGGTGAAAGATGAGGAAAACTTAAATAACGGTGTGATAAATTTCGTACAACCATAATTGTTGTCTTGTAAAATTCTGTAGGAAAGAACATGCTGATGTTGGACCCAATTTCTAAACCTCCATTAAAATTTAAGCATTACGTATAATTTTGTGTGTAGTAACGTTAATGTAATTTTAATAAATAACTGTTATAAATTGGATGAATTGTAAATTGACAAATCGACGATGCATTGCTAAAACAAGTTCGTGATTTCATAGTTTACGTTCCAACACGTTTTTATCACTCACACGAGACTGTCGCGAAATAAAAACGAAAAAGAAAGATGAAAAGCGAACGAGTTTGAACCGCGTTTATATTCGCTGTAGTAAAAATCTTCCACGATCGCGCCACGCTAATTGGCTCAGCGGGTCAATAGCACGTTAGCTCGACATGTTGAACAGAGGGCATACGCGTACAAGTATACGCTTTTGCCAAAACGTTTAGAAATTTCCAATTTTTCCTACACTCTTTCTCTTTTTTCCTGTTTGTTTCAGCCAATCGTTCTCACGGTTGCTCGCGACCGCTATAAATTTTCGCGAAATTTTGATTTCAAGCAGCCTTTTCGACCTGTGTGCTTTAATGTCGAAATTCGTGCTCTCCGAATTCGTTGAAAATGCGCAACGCGGATTACTCGTTAACCTATTGTCGTTTAATCGTCACTTTCGGAAAATTTTCATTCCACTGATAGCTTTCATCGCATCGTGCAAATTGATTTTTCGTCCATTAAAGAATTGTCTGGATCGACATAAGGCAGCCTGGAATGATTGGAATCTGATAACTTTTTCATCGAAAATTCAGTATGTGACTCCTCGTTAAAATTCAACGGGTTTTTTGTTCACTTAGAAGTAATAAAACGTTTGTTTTCCTTGCTGAACATATTTCTTTCATACATCTTTATACCTTCTGTTTTTACACACAATAAGTTTATCTGGGTCCATAATCAAAATGTCTTGCGTTTAATGCATTAATTATTAATACCATAATTCTATTCAATCGTTAAAACTCAATCTGTTATTTGAAATCTTTGGAATTATGTCAAGTCGTTTTTCATTCTAACTTAGAGCAAAATTGAGTTTGGGAAAAGTTTTTCTTTGGGTAATTCGCATTATTTTATATCGTGGAGCAAATTCATTTTGTTCCGTATTAAGCGTCGACAAGTTTCTTGCTTGGTGTAACCACATTCCTCTCTAGGAGCCAGAAACGCATGGTCTCTTGAAAATAACGCTACGTAGTTAGGTCGTGTGTCTCGTTTGGAAACGTGATAAAACGCAAGCGCCGGGATGGTTAAGGGGTTGATTTCGTATTCTCGAGCTAAGCGCACCTGTGTGTACACGCGTTGTACGGCGATACGTGCGATTAATCTTGGGTTAGTGGAAGCTAGAAATGGTATGCATTTTCATCGAGTACTCGATTTTTCGGCGAACTTTCGCAGACCGTAAATCGTTTACGCCAACCAAATTCTCCGAGAGAACAACGTATTCCACAAGTTGAGAGCATAAAATCAATAAAGAAAAGCGGAAAATGTGCTCGAAACGTGGTTGGGTTTTCACGAAACTTTGAGCCGAGATCAAGAGGAAAATCTTGTGAATAGTACTTTAAACGTTCGGAACGTGTCAGCGAAAAGAAGGAATAATAGATTTCGTATATAGTAAATGATAATAACAAAATAAATGGTAGTAAGGAGAATATACAGGAATGCGTGCAACATTCCTTTATTTCCTGCTGAAGAGCATTTTCACGAAGCTTCAGGCTTTTCATTTTAGAGACGCCGGTATACAGTGACGACTTTTAAAGCGTATAGTTCATGTTAATTTCACTACAATTCGTACAAAAAGGATACACCCTCGAGCCGGGCGACCTTAATTTTTCTTAACTTTCTATCCACTTCACCACAATTACATCCAACAATAGGCCGGTCTATTTAAAGTTCCAGCCTTATCGCATTAGGGGCTATTATCTGCAGAATATTACAGGCAGACGGGCGAGCACGGTACGGCCAAGTCTCGAAAGCTCTTTAGGCTCTTCGTCCGATGATCTCGCAGCCGACGTAGAATCTCACGATGAGCATGTCTGTATCTAGTGCCGATGCAAAACGCGAAACATACCTACATTAATATCTTCATTCTCCAAATGTTACGTATTGTTCATAATTTTATTTGAAACGGTAATCTCATCCCAGATCAGTGTCAAGTCTAAAAGAATTCTATATTTATAAATACCATTTTCTAATTATTAAGTAGTCAGCTGATTAGTGTTTCTAAATCGCCCCTTTCAAACTCTTTTGCGTTGCATCTCCTTATCAGCGGGAGAAATTAAAACGTAATGTTAGTTTTAAACGCGAGCAGCGGGCAGAGCGTATCGGTGATGAGATTGGCAAAGAAGAACAGTGTAGAAGATCGAGATGATTGTGTGTCTTCCACGGTTCTTTGTGTGTGAAATCGTTTAAATTCTCATTTTTAGAAGCCAACAGTTAAGAGAATAAGTTTTCGGAGGAATAGTGTTTCGAGTTGGCTGGAAAGAAGCTGGAATTGAAGATGTCAGAGACGCGCAAGAAAACTAGATATCGACAGATAAAACAGCGACGAAGATGAGAAACTGAACTGGGCGCATGGCGAATAGATCGATACATAGATGAAAGAGAAACTGAGAAAGCATAGAAGAGCTCAGAGAAAGCCAGTCGATAGAATTAAAGAATAAAGAAATACGATACTTGTACATAAAAATATATGAGTATATCTACGATAATTAAAGAAGAAAAACTAGTGTTATATATATTATATGTATATCTCTTCGGAGAGAAAGTGTTACTCAGATTTATTGTTTTATCTACTCATTCGAAGTTTACACGTCATCGATATAAGAAACATATATGTACGTATATTTAAGCCTAATCGCTGGGACGTACGCAGAATATCGTATATCATCATCGATGGAACGATCAAAGGAACGAACGACCAAAACGAATGCTGTCAATTAATACTATATTAATATTAATACAATATTACTATTAATGATCATTTTTGGATTTACAATTTCGCCTAGTTCAATTATTACAAGTTATATCTTTGAAGCGACCGCTTTTCTCTGTAGCTATTCTTCGAATTCTACCTCCAGCTTAAAATAAAAAAGGTTAAGAGTAACAAAGACAGAAGGAAGCATAAAATCGACAACGAAGAAAGGGAATAATCGTAAGAAGACTCGTAAGACGCAAAAAGAACGGAAAGGGTAAAGGATAAAACGGCCTACAAAAGTATCTTGTAGATGTAGTGCACGAGTTTAGGATCTTCGAATAGAAATCGACCCTTCGCAATGGTTGTACCTGGTTTAATCTGCAGTTAAGATTTCACCGTATACCGAACAGAAGCCACGCTCGCTTCTCTAGCGTTTCCAAAGGTAAGCGAGCACTACAATCATTTTTATAGCGGTGATCTTCGTGATCTCGTACGAAACAGTTTCCATGGTGTTGATAATCCTTCGTATCAAGTCTTAAACAGTCTATTTTACAGTCGAGGAACTACACTCTTCAATGTTCATCAATTTTTCTTCTCGCATGCAGTACAAAAATAATTCAAAATTTTTTCATTTTTAATAAACAAGTATGTTGAATCAATTTTTTGATGACAGTTTTTATTAACATAATTACATAAATATTAACGTAAAACGGATTTCATTACGCATTAAACACAGATCAGAGATGTACAGGTTTTCGTAGAATCGTCATTACAAACTATCGACTTTTTCCTTTTCGATATGCATAGTCATAGTATTTAGTTTCTAGCGCAGCGGCTCAATATCAGCAGTTGCATGCACTCTCTGTAAGGCATACTCGTTTCACGAATGGAATCGTTCATTGAAAAAAGTGAATTCTCGTTCGTTCTCGTCGGCGTCCGGAAAAGTTGCAAATACATTCTAAACGGTTCAGGTGATCTGTGCGACAGTCTTTTCATCACGGCAATGCACGATATTGATTAAAAAATTCAAATGACATTTACACTGGTGGGAGTATTGTTTCTAGGAATAATGTCACTGCCCATTCTTTAATCAAACAGCGCGACAACGTTCGCCATTCTGCATCTGTGACTCCATTAAATTTTTCTCCTTCGCGATTGATAACGCTTGACCCAATGCCTTAACTAATAGTTAAATAATTATTAGGATTATCTCTGAACAGATAATAATTAGATAAAATTTTTGACGTATTTTGGAACAATATTAAAAAATCGGCATGTGCATTACTAGATTACTTTCAACAGATCAATTATTCAAAGTGGAGCATCAATTTATAAATTAACAAACTAGAAACTACTAATAGAACATCAAGCTTCCCGTGGATGTTTGAATTATGCTTGGAATGTTTTGGCTGTTAATCAATATAACGATTAGGTAAACGATTGCAATTTCATGAGCGTGGAATGAAATTAATGC